TAAAGAAAACTTTAAATAGAAACACAGATCATCATTTAAAGTTTTTAAAGATCACTAATGAAAAGTTTTAAGATGCTTAAAATGAAATGTAGAAAAGTAAAAGTGGTAATACTTTCTTTTCCCTAATCAGTATGGTATCATAGTCCATTGTAACATAACACTAGAGTTGACTTTTACACTATTTGACCGTTTTTATTTGTTTATGAAAATCATACCTAAAAGATTAATAAAAAATCTGACGTGTTTTGGTTAACGTACTTCTGATCTCTCACCAAATGAAACCCGTTCAAAACTTTTAAATTAGAGTAAATTACCAGACACGTCCATGTGGTGCTCAATTTGCTAGTTTAGTCCCTACGTTTCAATTTTTATTTGGACAATCTTGCCGAAATCAACCCATTCATTGGTTGATTAGAGAGTAGAAAACAAGATGTTCGTCCATAAAATTCGTTTTCTATACACCAATAAAGGGAGTTGAGAAAGATGGTAGTGTGTGTCGCCGGAAACACTAAAGAAATGGAGATGTGAAAGATGTTGGTGTGTGTTCGCCAGAAACAACCAAGAAAGGGAGTTAAGAGAGATAGTGTTGTGTGCTCATTAGAAACAACTAAGGCGGCAACAAGATGTAGGGTTTATGAACCTTCTTGGTTATGGTTTTCGTATGTTGGAAACAACAAAGGCATCAGTGGTCTCCGATCTAGGTTTAACAAGAGGGAAGATAGAGCTGGTGACAGATCTAATACAACGATGGCATCGAATCTTGTTTCCGTTCTCCGGAAACAACCAAGGCATCAACAGTGTCGAATCTACAGTTTAGGGAAGACAACGAGTAGCAGTGGTGATAGATCTAAGACAGCGGTGACATATGATCTAGTTTCAGTTCGTCAGAAATAACCACGACAGCGAAGACGTTAGAACTATGGTTCTTGGTTGAGCTCTTTGTTGAGCTCTTGGTTGAGTTTAGAGAAGAGGGAAAAATGAGATATATCAGATAGAGAGAAATGTGAGACGAGGGTAGCCGGTTAGGGGGTGGGGCTGTGGGGGTTAAGGTGAGATTTTAGATTTTTTTTTCCTAAAATGTAACACTCGTGTTCCAAATTGGCTAAGCTTACTTTCTCAGGGACCAAAAATGAAGTTTTTTGGAAGGAGACCTTGTGCCACGACGTGGTGCAAGGATGCCCACGACATGGCACTAGCTTGGAGGATCGCGTATGTATTGGGCCGCCACGGTGTGGCCTAGTATTGCCACGACGTGGCAGTTGTTCTGGCCCAAGCCCATGACTCTTTTAGGGTTCCGTTCATATTTAAACCTTACTAATTCATTTTTAGGGTTCTTTATCGGCCTCCATCACCCTCTCAGACCCATAAACCCTAACCCTAGCATCCATTGCAATTATAAACTCATTCTTGGTGCTTTTTGGTGATTTTTGAAGAAGAAGGAAGCATTTGGTGTGATAGTTTACTTGGCAAGGATCATCCATTTCAGCTAACACATCTCCTGGACCTTGGTGAGTGTCCAAGATCCAACATTTTCCTTGCTAAGTTGTTAGATATCTTGATGGTGTCCCTTTTCTTCATGTCTTGATAGATTTGAGTAGTGAGATCTCATAAAGTTTGCAACTTTATAAATCTCAAGACCACTTAGAGTAATTTGTGCCTTGGATCTGATTTTTAAGTGAGCCTTGGTGTCATGCATGGAATCTTGGTCATAAACCCTTAGTTTTGACCTAATAAGAGTTCAAGACATGCATTGGACATGCATGTCTGGAAATCATGGATTTTTATTGTAGTTTAGTACTAGAAACCCTTCTTGAATTATGGGTCTTGAGATCTTCAAGGTTAAGTGCTTAAAGATTAAGTCATGATGTGTTTTCACCCCTTTTTTGGACCTAGGATGAGATCTTCACCTCTTGGAAGGTCTTAAGGGATAAAGTTGGAAACTTTATCTATTTAGACCATAGTGTGGACCAGATATGGGCTTTGGAGCCCTTTGGATTGAAGAAATCGACTTATTCTATTAAGTTGTTTGGGAAACAATGATCACGACGTGGCCTAGGCTGCCACTGCATGGCGACTAGGCTAAGGCCTGTTTGTTTTGGCGATTTGTGGCCACGACGTGGCCAAGGAAGGCCACAATGTGGCGACCAGCTGGAGTTGACTTTGACTTTGATCGTTGACTGTTGACTTTGACAAAGTTTGACTTTAGGTCATTTTGGATGTATTTTGAATAGTAGATTGAAGTTTAAATCCCTGTTACTGTATAGGTGACCAGTAGAGGCTGTATTTGGAGCAGTGATTTGCTCAACTATTATTTCAGATTGTGAGCTGGGCTCTCCTCACTGTACTTGTGGGTCGCAGGCAGCAATGCCGACCTACTAGGTCATGTATCCGACTATATAAGATGTTGCTATGATGTAGTGATCTGTTAGATCTACATGATTATCTGTTTGTTGGTTATATGTTTATCTGTTACATATGGTGACATAGTGTGGTTAGGTTGAGGCAATACTTCTCTTTGCTAAAGCCAACAAACCTGGGAGCAATCTAGTCATAAGCCGTGGGTCGGGTAGGGCAAGCTAGACTTATGTTGAGGGCTCGAAAGCAAGCCAGACATAAGCGAGGGCTGGTAAGGCAAGCCAGACTTATGTTGTGAGCTCGGGAGCAATCCAGACATGGCCTGTAAGCTGGGAAGGCAAGCCAGACTCATGTTGTGGGCTTAGGGGTATGACTGTGGACCCAGCATGCATGTTGTTATTTGTTTAGTGTGATGGTACCTTGGGGAAACTTACTAAGCTTTGGCTTCCAGTTTCTTTTATGGTTTTAGGTACCTCAGAGGACAGGGGCAAGACGAAGGCTTGATCGTGCACATCCTTTGGATTTTATGAGACTTGATTTTAGGATACTCTAATTTTTTATTTGACATTTGGAAAACGTGTTTTGTAAACAATTATGGCTTTGGGTTTTTTTTTAATTTGAAAATATTTACCATAATTTTTAAGATGCTACATAAAATTATAAATATAAAAAATAAATGATAAGAAAATTAAAAAATAAATTAGTAAGGATAATATAGACATTTTAGGTTGAAGAGAGACCAAAATCATAACAAAAAGATGCCATATGAATGGTCCTACCGCCCTAGTGAAAAACAAAACATAAGGATAAAACTAGTGAATTTGGCCGAACCATAAGGACAATTCATGTAATTTCCTCTTTAATTTTTCATAAAAAGGTCTTGAGGAAGCGTTTTTGCCATCTTCTAGTGGTATCAATAGGTCAAACTCTTGAAAGAGAAAAGCTTTAATCTCATGATCCAAGGCACTACTATCATAGCAGTCTTTCCATAGAGAGAAAGGACATCTCCTTTTGACCCAAAAGAGAGGTTTATAACAAAGTCTTTCCATAGAGAGAAAGGACATCTCCTTTTGACCCAAAAGAGAGGTTTATAACAAAGATTAAGAACATAAAGAGATGTCCAAGAATCTTGATTTGTACAAGGAAAATCAAGAATAACTAGGATTGTAGGATGCTTAATGTTGGTGGAATTGTTGTTCAAACATGAGTTCTAGTCAACGCAAGCTTGTGTAACGAATAGATTCATGGATTAGGTGCTAAAAACATAGACACGGTACAACCACCGGTTATATCATACATTTCACTTCGTTTTTGTGGAATTATTTTTGAGCACCACATAATTAGATCATTGATAAAAGTTCATTAGTTTGTTGAGCTAAAAATTACATCTTAATCAGACTCTTATCCATTCTCAAAGAGCTAAAACCGAACACAACTGTCACACTAAACGGCTAAATTATTCACATTGTAGATAAAAGCGACAAGAGAATATTGAAAACACCATGAAAACTACCAATAACACTACCCAAATAAATGCAAAAAGAAAGGAAAAAAAATTTCAGGTTGGGCTCATCCATGAGGGTAGTGCATCGCAGGTTGCATCTGGAAAACCATGTTCTGAGATGCACCGTAAGAATCATGTAGACCACCGCCGCCACCCCCACCACCGCCGCCGCCGCCACCAAAAGCACCAAACGAGTTCCCACCATATCTTGGAGACATGAAAATAGCCCCATGTGTTTGGTTGAAAGCCATGGTGGTGTTTTCGTTATTTGGTTGATTCCATGGGACATTACATTGCTCCGGTGAAGCTGTTGTTTTGTACTCCGGCAAAGTGATCTGCTTTTCATTAAGATTTACAGTTGTTATATCATGAATACTTGCTCTTCTCTTATCTTTCCCCGCTGGAAAGTTGTCGGATAAAGTACTTTTAAGCATGGATTGCGACTTGAGTAGGTGTTCTTGTAGCACGAAATTTCGAGAAATATTTCTCCAGTCTCCTTTTCCGTACTTCTTTAGGCCCAATAGAAACAACCTGTGATTGGGTTTCCCAAATATCGATGTCATTTTTAATCCACTCAATGTGGGATCTCGAATCAATACAAAAAATATCGCTAGCTAAAAGAACAGAGTGAGTAAAGAAACTTACTTATGTTCTTCTTCTGTCCAACGAACACCCTTTTTCCTTTCTTGTTCTAGAGGCCGACCAACGGCCACCACAGCCACGGCGGCGGCAGAGGATCTCTTCCCTTGGGCACCATATGGCGGCGGTGAGAGAAACCCATCAACCCCATTGCTGTTTCCCCATTCTAAAGTGAAAGGAGAAGTGCTACTGTTATACCCATATTTTTGATAAAACCCTGCTTCGATACTACTAACATCATCCTCCAACTCCTTATACTGCCGCTTAACATCCGTCGTCGTCTTCCCCGGAACCATCTCCGCCACTCGCTGCCAACGATCAGGGGTATCCTTATCAAATTTGGCAAGAGCATTCTCAAATAATTTGTTCTCAACAGGAGTCCAAATTGTGCTCATCCATGAAAACGGCCAATAAAACTACCCAAATCAATGCAAAAATAAAGGAAAAAAGCTTTTCAGGTTGGGCTCATACATGAGGGTAGTGTTTTCCCACCAAATTGTGCTCATCCACCACCACCACCGCCGCCACCAAAAGCACCAAATGAGTTCCCACCATATCTTGGAGACATGAAAATAGCCCCATGTGTTTGGTTGAAAGCCATGGTGGTGTTTTCGTTATTTGGTTGATTCCATGGGACTTTACATTGCTCCGGTGAAGCTGTTGTTTTGTACATCGGCGAAGTGATGTGGTTTTCATTAAGATTTATAGTTGTTATATCATGAATACTTGCTCTTCTCTTATCTTTCCCACTAGAAAGTTGCCGGATAAAGTACTTTTAAGCATGGATTGCGACTTGAGTAGGTGTTTTTGTACCACGAAATTTCGAGAAATATTTCTCCAGTCTCCTTTTCCGTACTTCTTTAGGCCCAATAGAAACAAGCTGTGATTGGGTTTCCCAAATATCGCTGTCAAATTTAATCCACTCAATGTGGGATCTCGAATCAATACAAAAAATATCGCTAGCTAAAAGAACATAGTGAATAAAGAAAATTACTTATGTTCTTCTTCTCTCCAAGGAACACCCTTTTTCCTTTCTTGTTCTAAAGGCCGACCAGCGGCCACCACAGCCACGACGGCGGCAGAGGATCTCTTCCCTCGGGCACCATATGCCGGCGGTGAGAGAAAACTATCAACCCCATTGTTGTTTCCCCATTCTAAAGTGAAAGGAGAAGTGCTATTGTTATACCCATATTTTGGATAAAACCCTGCTTCGATACTACTAACATCATCCTCCAACTCCTTATACCGCCACATAACATCCGCCGCCTTCTTCCCCAGAACCATCTCCGCCACTCGCTGCCACCAATCAGGGGTATCCTTAGCAAACTTGGCAATAGCATTCTCAAATAATTTGTTCTCAACAGGAGTCCAAATTGTGTTCATCCATGAAAACGACCAATAAAACTACCCAAATCAATGCAAAAAGAAAGGAAAAAAGCTTTTCAGGTTGGGCTCATCCATGAGGGTAGTGCATCGCTGGTTGCATCTGGAAAACCATGTTCTGAGATGCACCGTAAGATTCATGTAGACCACCGCCGTCACCCCCACCACCACCACCACCATAACCATCGCCGCCACCAAAAGCACCAAACGAGTTCCCACCATATCTTGGAGACATGAAAATAACCCCATGTGTTTGGTTGAAAGCCATGGTGGTGTTTTCGTTATTTGGTTGATTCCATGGGACTTTACATTGCTCTGGTGAAGCAGTTGATTTGTACTCCAACGAAGTGATGTGGTTTTCATTAAGATTTACAGTTGTTATATCGTGAATACTCGCTCTTCTCTTATCTTTCCCGCCGGAAAGTTGCCGGATAATATACTTTTGAGCATGGATTGCGACTTGAGTAGGTGTTCTTGTACCACGAAATTTCGAGAAATATTTCTCCAGTCTCCTTTTCCGTACTTCTTTAGGCCCAATAGAAACAACCTGTGATTGGGTTTCCCAAATATCGATGTCAAATTTAATCCACTCAATGTGGGATCTCGAATCAATACAAAAAATATAGCTAGCTAAAAGAACAGAGTGAATAAAGAAACTTACTTATGTTCTTCTTCTGTCCAATGAACACCCTTTTTCCTTTCTTGTTCTAGAGGCCGACCAGCGGCCACCACAGCCACGGCGGCGGCAGAGGATCTCTTACCTCGGGCACCATATGTCGACGGTGAGAGAAACCCATCAACCCCATTGTTGTTTCCCCATTCTAAAGTGAAAGGAGAAGTGCTACTGTTATGCCCATATTTTGGATAAAACCCTGCTTCGATACTACTAACATCATCCTCCAACTCCTTATAATGCCGCATAACATCCGTCGCCGTCTTCCCCGGAACCATCTTCGCCACTCGCTGCCACCAATCAGGGGTATAATTATCAAACTTGGCAAGAGCATTCTCAAATAATTTGTTCTCAACAGGAGTCCAATTTGTGCTCATCCATGAAAACGACCAATAAAACTACCCAAATCAATGCAAAAAGAAAGGAAAAAAGCTTTTCAGGTTGGGCTCAACCATGAGGGTAGTGCATCGCAGGTTGCATCTGGAAAACCATGTTCTGAGATGCACCGTAAGATTCATGTAGACCACTGCCGCCACCCCCACCACCACCACCGCTGCCACCAAAAGCACCAAATGAGTTCCCACCATATCTTGGAGACATGAAAATAGCCCCATGTGTTTGGTTGAAAGCCATGGTGGTGTTTTCGTTATTTGGTTGATTCCATGGGACTTTACATTACTCCGGTGAAGCTGTTGTTTTGTACTCCGGCGAAGTGATGTGGTTTTCATTAAGATTTACAGTTGTTATATCATGAATACTTGCTCTTCTCTTATCTTTCCCGCTAGAAAGTTGCCGGATAAAGTACTTTTAAGCATGGATTGCGACTTGAGTAGGTGTTCTTGTACCACGAAATTTCGAGAAATATTTCTCCAGTCTCCTTTTCCGTACTTCTTTAGGCCCAACAGAAACAACCTGTGATTGGGTTTCCCAAATATCGATGTCAAATTTAATCCACTCAATGTGGGATCTCGAATCAATACAAAAAATATAGCTAGCTAAAAGAACAGAGTGAATAAAGAAACTTACTTATGTTCTTCTTCTGTCTAAGGAACACCCTTTTTCCTTTCTTGTTCTAGAGGCCGACCAGCGGCCACCACAGCCACGGCGGCGGCAGAGGATCTCTTACCTCGGGCACCATATGTCGGCGGTGAGAGAAACCCATCAACCCCATTGCTGTTTCCCCATTCTAAAGTGAAAGGAGAAGTGCTACTGTTATGCCCATATTTTGGATAAAACCCTGCTTCGATACTACTAACATCATCCTCCAACTCCTTATAATGCCGCATAACATCCGTCGTCGTCTTCCCCGGAACCATCTCCGCCATTCGCTGCCACCAATCAGGGGTATAATTATCAAACTTGGCAAGAGCATTCTCAAATAATTTGTTCTCAACAGGAGTCCAAATTGTGCTCATCCATGAAAACGACCAATAAAACTACCCAAATCAATGCCAAAAAAAAGGAAAAAAGCTTTTCAGGTTGGGCTCAACCATGAGGGTAGTGCATCGCAGGTTGCATCTGGAAAACCATGTTCTGAGATGCACCGTAAGATTCATGTAGACCACTGCCGCCACCTCCACCACCACCACCGCCGCCACCAAAAGCACCAAATGAGTTCCCACCATATCTTGGAGACATGAAAATAGCCCCATGTGTTTGGTTGAAAGCCATGGTGGTGTTTTCGTTATTTGGTTGATTCCATGGGACTTTACATTGCTCCGGTGAAGCTGTTGTTTTGTACCTCGGCGAAGTGATGTGGTTTTCATTAAGATTTATAGTTGTTATATCATGAATACTTGCTCTTCTCTTATCTTTCCCACTAGAAAGTTGCCGGATAAAGTACTTTTAAGCATGGATTGCGACTTGAGTAGGTGTTCTTGTACCACGAAATTTCGAGAAATATTTCTCCAGTCTCCTTTTCCGTACTTCTTTAGGCCCAATAGAAACAACCTGTGATTGGGTTTCCCAAATATCGATGTCAAATTTAATCCACTCAATGTGGGATCTCGAATCAATACAAAAAATATCGATGAAGATGGCGAAAGGATTATAGTTTCCAACTTCTTTGAAATCCAATTAAAAAACCCATAATCAAGATCAAATTTTTAAAGGTTTTTCTTCAAGGGGGGATCGAAATGTGGGGGGGGGCTTTACAATGGAAATATGAGGGTTAAATCAAGAACCATATTTTTTGTGAATGGAATCAGAATAGCTTTTCTTCTTTTGTTTGCCTCCACAGCCAACCACCCAACCACCCCGTGGAATCTTTAAAAGACCAACTTTTCGAAATTAAAGGAAATACTACCCCAAACATAGAGGGGTATGAGAGGTATCAAGAAAAGCAAATGCACCCTCTTTCTCTCTCTTCCCTCTCTTTTTAGAAAGAGATGAACAAAAACCTAGAAATGCTAAACAAGATCTGAACCCATTATTGCCAAGAAGGCAGTGTTGGTTGCTTCAAGATTGGAAAATATCGACATCCCAATTAGGAAAGTTGGCTGGTTGAATGATTGAGAGTAGGCGAAAAGGGATATTAATTCCTCAAAAGCTGGAAATGGAAAAGAGTTGCAGAGAGGTAGAGGGGAGAATCTTGAGATAAATCCGTGGATTCTATGAAGTGAGTAAAGATTGGTGCTTTTCCCCTCTTTTTCTTTAGGCCTATGAAGCTACAAAGGGGGAAAGGAGAAACAATCATACCCCTCTTCAACGAGTGAATCTAAAGTCTGTTTAGAGAAAGAACAAGAGTACAACAGAGGTGGGAGGAGAAGGTGGTGGAAGATGATTGGATGAGATAGGGTTTAGTAGACACTGCCAATTTAGTATTTTAATAGGCACTCCCTCTTCCATGTTATGTCGATGTTGTCGGTAATTTCATTTTAATAATGTTTTTTTTATTGTAAACAACAATTAACATAGCCATAATATTGTAATATTTTTTGTGGAACTTATTTCATTTTTTCTCATTTGCTTATTGTTATTTTTTCCTTTTATTTACATATATTAAACATATATTTCATAACTTTGTTTATTGTTTAAAATCATTGTATGTTTGGTTATCATTTTTTAAACCATGTTCTTTTATATATCATATATTTGCAAAAAAAAAAAAAAAAAAAAAAAAATACGTCTTTTAAACCACTAAACCACCTAGATTGTCATGTTAATAAATAGTATCTTGTGAAAAATATACAATGCCACGATTAAACCACCTACAATTCTTAATATTATATTGTATCTCAAATTTATGAAAGTAAATGTAAAAAATAATATAACACTAAATCATTTTTAATCAATTACATTATTTTTTAAAACTAAAAAATATTAATACTTTAAGTATATTTTATTTTTCTATTTTTTCAAACTTTTCAGAAAAACACACATATTTGCAGGTTATACAAACTTCACTTATATAAATTTATTATAATAATTTTTTAAATCCAATTATTCAAAAAGTAATATAGGTTTTAATAGTATGTTTTTTAATCAGATTATGTAATTGCTTTATATGTCGATTATGTGTTTTTTGCAAATATATTTTTGTGTTTTATATTATTAATAAATGAATATTGACCAACTACAATAAGTTCAATTAAATGACCGTGCTATTGAAATTATAATATTATATTTAGTGTTGCTAAATAAATAGTATAATTTCAAATTAATATTATATTATTTACCAACACCAAATTGATATAATATGTGTTCTTAGATTAAGCAATTTTAAACCAAATTTGGTGTAAAAGTTATGTTTTATTGTTAAGTCGGAGATGCGCTTAACACAAAATCTAGTACAAAGTTTAAGTTTTCTTATTGGTTGGAGATGTCCTTAGTTAGGCGCGAGTATTTTGACTGAATTGGACTAGACCAATACTTGTACAAGACTGGTTTTGCTGAGATTGGTAGACTTTGGAACAGACATATTGATGCTTATCCAGTCCATGTCTAGGGTCAGTTCCTAGTTCTTAGACATAACAATGAGTATTTGGACCGGATTGGACCTGACCGGCTTTTAGACTAGACTGATTTTGCAGAAATTGATGGACCTTGGACCGGACTTATTGAGACTTATCGAGTCCAGGTCCAGGTTCGGTTTCCGGTCAGGTCAAGTTCAGAGATCCAAATGCTCACCCCTACTCTTAGTATAATAATAATTATTTTATAGTTAATTACAATAACATAGTTATCTTTAACAACACATATTTATCAATATTGTAGCTATATGATTATATTATTCATAATAATAAAGACATAACAAGTAGGCATTCACTTAGCATCGTACAATCCTCAATCCTAAAAGGTTGAGTTCGCATTAAACCGGTTGAACTTGGTGTCTACTGAATTTCTTTTGTTTAGATTTGAGATTTCACAAATGTAACCAATTTATTTGAAGGGGAATATGCAAAAAAAAAAAAAAAAAAAAAAAAAAAAAAAAAAAACCCTTAAATTTTGGCTCTATTGAAAAAAAATCACCCCCGATTTTTTCTTTTGCAATTTAAGCATTGGATCCGGCTATTACTTGTAATTTGACTCAATTTGGAAGTTACCACAAACAATAGCATGTTTCGATCGTTAAGTTGTAAACAAAATATCAATGGTGACTTTTTTGTCGATAGGCCAAAATATAAGTAATTTTTTTTCAATGCATTGAAAAAAAATTACTTATATTTTGACCTACCTACAAAAAAGACACCTTTGATATTTTGTTTATAATTTAACCATCGAAATCTGCTATTGTTTGCGGTAACCTGCAAATTGAACCAAATTAATAACGGATTACAATGGTTAAATTGCAAAAAATAAAATAAAAATTAAAAAATAAATCAATGTTGAAGTTTTTATCAATAAAGCCAAAATAGAAATATAAAGACTTTTTCAGCGTATTTCTTTTATTTGAATATCTATAAAAACTTGAATATCCTAAGATACTTTAAATTTATTTTATATAAATATATAAACAACTCATATAAAGAAATGTGGGATATGATATTTACCCACCGCAGCACATTCACAATGAGATTGATGTGACAAAGTGTCTCCACTATTCTAAGGTTATTTCATTTTCTACTTATTGACCTCCAATCGGTATTTGGTTTACACCTTGACCTCGTAGGGCCTCCCTCATCCTATGAACAAACTCCTACAAATTGATTCTCAAAACAAAGAACATCTATTCGGTTTACGAATGAAAGAAGTTGTACATAAGATTGGAAATTGGCGAATTTAATGTTTTTAAAGTTTAGTATTAAATTCGTGTTTTTTTGAGAAAAAAAAATGGTAAATTGCATTGTTTGAACAGTAAACTTACCTCAATGTTTATCTTGGAGGGTTAATTGTTGAACTGTAACATCCTAAAATTCAATGCCAAAAATTTCATTTTTAATTAAGTTATTATAAAACCATAAGTATAAAATCGTCAATAATAACATTCCATATCAAAACTCAAGTGTCAATAATCAAAGCATGTTGTCATAAAATAATTTCAGAGTGCAATCCCAAAGATCTCAAGTGCGGAAAACATAGTGTGGTGCGCTGCGATCGAACCGACTCATTTCCTTTGAAAATGAAGTACCTGAAACCAAAACTGTAACCGTAAGCACAAAGTTTAGTGAGTTCCCCAGAGCATACCCCACACACAATCCACATGTCATATTAGGTATAAAAGTTATCTCTACCACATAACACGTATCACCTTAACCATAGAAGCTATCTCTACCACATAACACATATCACATTAGCTGTAAAAGCTATCTCTACCACATACTACATATCATATTAGCTATAAAGGTTATCTCTACCATTAGTCATAAATGTTATCTCTTCCATTAGCCATAAATGCCATCTCTACCTTTAGCCATAAATGTTATCTCTTCCATTAGCCATAAAGGCTATCTCTACATTTAGCCATACATGCTATCTCTACCATTAGCCATAAAGGCTATCTCTACCATTAGCCATAAAGACTATCTCTACCATTAGCCATACAAGCTGTCTCTACCACATATCACGACATAAATATACTACACACCTCTACTCAGCAAGTATACCGACTATCATAAAATGGGGCGGCCTTGGTGCCTTAGACCCATTATGGTGAGAAGACTCACCTGGCACTGCCGAAGTCCCGCAGATGAACTCCAGCTGCTGGTTGACAAAATCCCGAACTGCCAACATCAAACAATACCCAATTAATAAGTGGGTTCCAACTCATAATCATAAATCCATGCTTGGGGGGTAAAAGACTACTCTACCCTTAACTTGGCTTGATTCAAGCCCAAGGCCCAATCCAAAGGCCCAAAAGTCCAACTATGGCTCAAAGCCCAACACATGGCCCAATTTTCCAAATTGGGCCCAAACCTTTACATGGCCTCATTCTAAAGCCCAACCAAAAGTCCAGTCCAACATTTGGTATTTCCAATGGCCCAATATCTCGTAATCATATAGGCCCAAACTATGGCCCATCTATGGCCCAATTTTCCAAATTGGGCCCAAACCCCTTACATGGGCCTTGCCATAGGCCCATTAAATTATTCTAGCCCAATTGTTTGTTCTTGGATGGCCCATTATTATCCTAATCATCAAAGCCCAATAGAAAGGCCCAACTTAAGGCCCAAATGAAATTAGGGTTTCACATAAAATGATGATTAGGGTTAAGTGTCCCTACTTAACCCCTTAAGGACTTAATCCATTAAGTCCTACATGGTCTTAGGTTAATTTTCAATGATTATTAATTAATATTTTAAGTTCATTAAATAATCCCGATGCGGTC